CACATAGAACCACGTCCTAATCCTTTTAATCTATACTCTTATACTAAATTCTTAAGTACTTTTCAGACCTTTTAGAAACCTTAAACACTTAGAATGAACTTGAAATAAGTTCATTTAACACACTGCCGATTCATATAAATTCCATTATATATAATAGGTAAAATATCCCTGTAAATGTAAATAATCTTTATTTTTTTTGTCTTTTAACATGAACTAATGGACCAACGGATCAACATCACATGTAGCTGAAGACCGATATTACTTTATTTTTATCGCAGCAAAAGCTCGTGGGATTGGTTTGGCACGTAATTCCATGCTGTGACTTTAAGCGCTTATTGACGATCCAAGAAGTCGGATTTCACATGACGGAACCTACGGGCATTAAATATATAATCTATGAAATTCAAATACCAATTCAATGAACAAGTAAGCATTCAATACGCAAATAGGTATCCAATATACAAAAAGGTATTCAATAAACAAAAACAAAACATTTATATGTTGAAAATGTATCTTACATTCCGTGAGCGACATACGGAAAAGTTATCGGAGGTGTAAAGTGGAACAAGATCAACCAAGATCAATAAAATTATCACATGACCGGTGTTTACGATTGACCGATTGTAGAAATGAAATGAATTGTACGATAGTACACGAAATGAAATGAACCGATCATCCGTTCATAAGAAAGTATCTCGACTATGAAAATTTCTCACACTCAAACACAACAATTCTAAGTAATCCCTATTAATCTTTTCCGAATACTTATTGAAATAATTAGGCTATTCATTTTGGAAATTTAAATTGTTTATAGTGCTAATCTTTGCACTTAAGATTGAAGATTAAAATATGTAGAAAAAGTACGAAAAGATTGTCGCCGCTGTGGGAATCGAACCCACGTCATCGGCATTCGCGGCCAGACGTGGGTTCGATTCCCACAGCGGCGACAATCTTTTCGTACTTTTTCTACATATTTTAATACTATTCATTTTGATTTTAAAGCGGTTAAAAGGGGCAGGTAAAATGGCTAACTTAAAAGAAAGAAAACAAGCCAATAAAATTCTCTGTTAATATAAAAAACTACCATGTGATTACATCCGCTAGAAATGTTTCTGCTTCGCCCTCGTAGGTTGCAACGTGATGTTAAATAGACTATAACCTTCCTCATGAGTTCGGCATTGAAATGCAAAAAGATTTTTTTCAAATTCGACTGCTAGTTCCAGAGATAAGCGCGTTCAAATAAACCAAGAAACAAACTCTTCACCTTTATTATATTAGTAATATTATATAGAAAGCTTTTTAACAAAAAAGAACCGACTTCAAAAAGCGTTCGCTTAACGTGTATGTAGGTATATTGTACGATTGTACGAAGCTCACACGGATGAATATTATAATATGATATTAGTATTATATTAGAATAATATTATATTATATATCAGAGGATATCAAGTCATAAACCGATAGTTTCAATGATAAAAATTCCTGAGTAACCTACATGTTTGTAAGATACTTAATAAAAATATTTTAAATGATATTAACTTTTTTATTCATCATCATTTCTCATTTACTCAATAAAAAAATTGTTTGCATATCGGTCACCATGCACAAAAAGTGTAACTTGAATTAAAATCAAAGAAAAAAAAACACTGCTAAATAAATAATTATAATTGCATAAGTTGATAAAAAAAGCTATGCCGCGGCAGTCCCCGATTGCCACAGTTCATTTTTAATTTATAATTATAAAGTAACTAGCGACCCACCCCGGATTCGCACGGGTGCATTGTTTTATATATATAAACCTTCCTCACGAATCACTCTGTCTAGCAAATAAAACAGCATCAAGATCCGTTGCGTAGTTTTACACACAGACAGACAGACAGTGGGACGACTTCGTTTTATACTATGTAGTGATTTATACTTTCTCTCCTTCAAATGGTGCCGTGTGTTTTGTCTGTGTCATCTTGTCATAAACATGAGGTCATATTTATTATCAATATCAGCCTATGGCCGTCCACTGTTGAACCAAAGTGCGCCAACTATCTCGGTCCTGGGCAGCACGCATCCATCCGCTGCTCGGCACCTTTCTTAAGTCGTCAGTCAATCGTGCATATTTATTATGACAACTCCTTTTTACGATATTTTGGCCGGTGTACTTGCGTATCAAGCGGGCAGCCCCACTCTTTTATTACTCAACCATGGTGGGTGTCTTATGTGTGACTACTATTTGACTATTTTTGTTTCAAAATTGCTATTTTAATATATATTTACAACAACTGGTCAATTTGCGGTGGACAGGATGAAGGTGGTAGATGTGCAGGCACACTGCTTGTAATTTGCAGCCGACGTGGAGTCGCAGAGGAAGAGGAGTGATGGTATTACGTAGGACCTCTTCCCCAATGCACCGTGACTCGGTGGAACTGAACCACTGATGTTTTAGCGGTGCTAGGGCCGCATGAGGTTACCCTATTCTGCGGCCGAGACGCGGTGAGCGGCGGAACTACAATCCCGGTTCGCCGATGAGGCCCGAGGAGCTGGCTGCTAGTCAGTAGTGGATATCCCAGCGCCCATGACCTCTCAGCTCTCTAAGAGTCAGTTGTCTGTACGAAAGAGGCCGTTGAGGATTCATTTGGCTGCAGCTCTTCTTACCATCTCTTCTTCCAGCTCAACTTACCTGAAGGAGAGGGAGTTGTTCCCCGTGGAGCCGAGCTGGTCATCACTGGGTTCGCTGAAGTATGCAAAAGCCAACGAGCACCTTGGGTGGAACATCGTTTGGGTTTTGGTTGGTAACATAGCCCGCTCTCGTCCCCGCGGGAGAGAAAAAAGAAAAAGAAAGCATGCAGTACAGGTAAAACACCTACTGACTTAGACTTGCCTAAAGAGAAGGAGAAATTCCTTAGTAGTGTTATAATTGTTTTATTTCACCAATTAGATTTTGCGATAGGATGAAGTCTTAGTTGATAAAACCAAAATGATGAAATAGAAGCAAAAGCGAGGCATTCTTGTTATTTCAATACGTTACTAATTTATTTCCATTAGAGAATTTCAACTACATGATGAAAAGGCCACTAGCAGGAATCTTTTGAAAAAAAGTCCTTTCAAACAAGTAATTGAATGTCTAAAAGATTTCTAAGTACAGTTCCCATTGCTGCACAAAAGTACTTCGGATCTTGCTTTAGTTTTCCTTTGGGAAATCCCCATTTTAAACAGTAAGAAGTCTGAAAATGTCTGTACAGTGTACCTACGATAACATAAGTCAATACTACTAACGATTTTAAAAATGAATAATTTGTATACATATTCCCTCTAGAAAATGAATGAATAATGAATTTTAAGTTTGGAGTCAAACGTAGGGGTACAAAGCATGGAAAAATATACAATTTACCAAAATATCTTGAATCACCGCCTATTGAAAATATTACAAATTGTACATTTATTTAAAGGAAGATACATTGTTTTATATTTTAATAAGGCCGGTTTACCATCAATTATGTAAAAAAAAAATGACAAATTTATTTTCCTTTTGACTATTTACCATATTGTCAGATAATTAAGCGTATTTTTATCTGTAATTTAATGGTGTTTGTTTGACTTAATCACTTGAAGCAAGTTCGACTCGACGTTATCGAAACCAAAGTTTCTACTATTTGAATCATCTTTGAGTATAGGTAAGTGTTCTGTGATTTTAATTTAATTAAATTAGCGACGTAGTTAGTAATTTCTAAAAAGAACACGGGCCAAAGAGTGTCTCGTACTGAGAAAGACGACAGAAGTTAATTATAAAATAGAGATGCCACGTAATAAGAAGATAATAGGTTATAAAGTAATATTCATAAAAAAGACATAAAACATTTTTGCACGAAAAAAAAAAAACAGCAACAAACATAGAACGACTGCAGATGTGCATCGTAGGAATGCCACATGGTGTCGTGTTTTGAGAAAGCCGACAGCGAGCGCTGTCCGAAATTAATTATACACTAGAAGTGCAATAATCTTGACGAAAATCTTAACGCCTTCTTTCTACATTGTTATTTAGCATTTGAAACAATGCTTGGTGCATCTATTGTTATATCCTTTCCAGCATACAAACAATTTCGAGTGCCGAAAACGTGGGTTCGTGTGGGAATCCACAGCAGCGACAATCTTTTCGTACTTTTTCTACATGTTTTAATGTTCAATCTTAAGTGCAGAGATTAGCAATATAAAAAACTTTAAAATTTATCAGTGTTTTGATTATATTTGGCATAGTGTGCGGTGTGGCGATGATAATATAAAATAAGAAAAGACATTTTGCTGACCCTAATAAGTCTTCTAAGTTACTTCAAGTAAATTACCAGAGTTACAATTGAATTTCGACCAAAGGGTACCTAGTTTAACCATATTATTACATTTATCTCATATCATGACTAACAATGTCATCAACTAAATACTAAAACAACTACAACAATTGATAAAGTGTAATCTAAAAATGAAATTTATCTTAGGTTCACAGTAAAAGTCATCTCTCCATAAGTTTTTTTTTTTATTTTAAAACAGATGAACTTGTATGCACTTTTAAATTCATGTTTTTATTTAAGTTATACAATTCATGGAATAGGAATATTGGTAGGTAAAATATCTTTTGCACGAATAACAACGCGCAGTAACAGTATTTTTTTTACTCTCGATATTCCAGTTTAGCACATTATATATAACAACATTAAATCGTTCTGAAACTCTTAGCTAGACGTTAAATCAATATTATTATCAATGTTTAAATAACTAGACACATTAAACCGTTAAATATTTTTTTCTTTGCTTCACGTTTATTGCGATTGAAATAATTGTGTAACGCCATCCGTTGGATCCGTTTTGTTATTGTCACTGAACGTCCTTGTTATCGGCTGGACCGATTTTAATGAAATTTTTTGTGTCTTCAGGTCGATTCGAGAATATAGATTACCCTTTTTTTTTAAAGTTATTGGATTTATGTCGTGTCCATGACAACGTCTACCCGTCCGTTAATGTAATATAATACGCGTGTTAATCGTGCACTTTTGGATTTTGCTGTTTTTTTCATCCACCTTGTCTTGATTCAAACCGACATATCTCTCTGATATTTCCCAAAGTTTACGCGCTACTTGGGTGTCGTGGCCTTGGCTCGCACTAACATTCTTAATATGACAGTCAGCGAAATACTTTCCCGACACATCACTCACTTCTGGTGAAACGGCGAGATATATCGTCGTCTGCGCACCTTCCCACGGATTCTTCGAGCATAGTTTAATTAACGGCAGCAGCCATTGGAATAATGGAATATTAATGTCGTGCAGAATTTCTGTCTTTACTATGCCCGGATGCAAGCTGTTCGCGGTCACTCCAGTACCTTGAAGGCGATTGCTCAATTCGGACGCCATAAGAATATTACACAGTTTAGAATTGCTATAAACATATCGCTTATTAATTGTCTTCTCTGTTTCTTTCTCGCCATTCATATTTTGAAAATCTATGAAGCCGTCACGGTGCGCGATGGAAGAGACGTTTATGATACGACTCGGACTACTAGACTTTAGCAGCGGCAATAGTAGCACAGTCAGCAGAAACGGTCCGAAATGATTGGTTTGCATTCCTAATAGCAGTCCATCTTCGGTCTTCACGTTATCAGAGCCAAATACACCTGCGTTGTTTATAAGGATATCTAAACGATTCTCATTCTGCAAGAATTCCTCGGCGAACTTTCTAACGGAGCTCAGTGATGCCAAGTCCAAGTGTCTGTAGTGAATGTTGTTGTTATCGGTGGCTTTGATTATTCTATCCCTGGCGTCGGTACCGCGCTCCTCGCTTCTGCAGGCGAGGATTACTCGTGCCCCTCTTGCTGCTAAATCCTTTGCGGTTTCGAAACCGATACCGGTATTCCCACCAGTAATTATCACAACTTTGCCTACTAAATGTTTACTACATTTACAAATTCCCATCGTTAACCTACAGTACACCCAAATTATAACAAATATAAGGAAAATCAACAGAGGAAAATATAAAATCACCATGTTTCCGTGAGGCTAGCGCGGTGCGTACTCATGACGCTAAAGCTATGCAATGCCATTTATACAAATAGTTTACTCATAAAGTACGTTCAATGTATGTTTTAGTGAGTGGAAAATTTACTAGTTCGGTTAGTAGTAGACGTAGTAGTAGTACAAATTTTAAAACATTTTTTTTTATATTCAGTCCCTTTGGAGGAGGCAAGGTACGCCTGGCCGCCTCCAAATAATATCTCGGGGACGGGATTAATATATTAACGATTAGCATAATTTTTGAATATAGCTTATATATATGTATAGCTTATATAAATATATATCAGAAACAGCTCCGGCGATTTTCATGAAATTTAGTATGTGCGTAGATTCGGGAGTGAAAAATCGATCTAGCTAGGTTTCATTTTTAGAAAATGTCCTTTTATCCCTGTTTTCAGGGAATGAAAAATATCATTCGAATATGACGGTAAATTTCGCCGCAAGAGAAAATGTCATAATAGCTCGGTCGGTAATCGGGCGGCCCCAAAACAGACGGCCGTGGTTCGTGTCACGATCATTTACACACTCTTTTTTTTACTTTTTTTTCGATTCCAGATCATTGCTTTCTTTATTTTTAATTTTTTTGTCGATTTGTTATTTTGTTACTTTTCCCTTTTTTTTAAGTTGTTTCTTTTGTGAAAAACACCACTTCATATTTTCTTATTATTACGTCGGTAAGATCGAAAAATATTACGCATATTTCATTACTCAGTAATTTGTATATAAATGTAATTTCCAAAACACACGATTTACCAAAAAAAAAAACAAACCGAGCAAAGCTCGGTCCTCCGGGTACTATTTATTAGTTAATTAAAATACATGTTTCAAACATGGCGTATTTGCAAAAATAAAAATTTGATAAATGAATTGAAACCCTCGCAAAACTACGTCACGTCACTATCATCATGATAAAAATATTTTTTCAGTAATTTGTTTCGATATAAAATAAAATTGAATTACGTTTTTAAGTTGACTCGCAAAGACAATTCCTTAACGCCGAAAAGCGTCACAAACAAGAAACATTTTAAATCAGTCCAAAAATTGTGGAGTTTTGGCTTTTTTATATAATTTAAATGAACACTACAAAAGTTTTTTGAATATTCAGTCACTTTGGAGGGGGCAAGATACGCCTTGCCGCCTCCAAATAATATCAGGCGGGGACGGGATTATCAAGCTAAATGGTAAAGATTAAATATCTTAATATATTAATGATTAGCTTGATGTTTGTGTACAGCTTATATTTTTCCAGTTTATTGAACTGAACAGACTTAACTCAAAGGCTTTAGAAACCCGAATGCAAATCTCGATATTGTAATCAATTTCATTTCTAAAAAAAAACATTTCATCATTTTTAGATATACATTATGTATTCAAAAATTATACAAACATTGTTTTCGATGGAGACGCTATGTAGACAGACATCGCTGATATCGCGAAAAAGGGACGTTTAAATGTTTTACATTATTTTTCTTTACTACATGCCCCTTTACAATTCTTTCAATACTTTACCTAACACTCAAAATAATTTTGCAATGAAGTCGATCTTTTGATAGTTAAGGTGACGAGTAAGAAGCTTAGTTACTCCAAAGTCGATCGTCCTGCACTGCTAATAGCCAGTTAGAATAGTTTTTTGATCATTTATGTGTGTCCTATAAGATCATCATCATCATCATCATTTCAGCCTGTTTGAGTCCACTGCTGAACACATCCCTCCTCCACAGACTGCCACGAAGTACGATCCTGAGCCACCTGCATCCATCGACTTCCCGCACATTTGCACAGGTCGTCACTCCATCTAGTGGGGGGTCGTCCTACACTGCGATGGCCAGTACGAGGCTGCCACTCGAGAACCTTTCTTCCCCAACGGTTATCGGTTCTACGAGCTATATGGCCGGCCCATCGCCACTTCAGCTTGCTAATCCTCTGAGCTATGTCGGTTACCTTGGTTCTACTGCGGATGTCTTCGTTACGAACTCTATCACGCAGAGAAATACCGAGCATAGCCCGCTCCATAGCTCGCTGCGCGACTTTGAGCTTCCTCATACGGCCAGCAGTGAAGGACCACGTCTCGGTTCCGTAGGTCATCACTGGCAACACACATTGATTGAAGACTTTAGTCTTCAAACATTGAGGTATATTCGACGAGAAGATTTGCCGAAGTTTCCCGAACGCTGCCCATCCGAGTTGGATTCGCCGATTGACCTCTGCGTCGAAGTTGGACTTACCTAGCCGGACTAACTGTCCTAGGTAAACGTACTCGTCAACAACTTCGAGCTCAGTGCTCCCAACGACAACCGGTATAGGCGTGACATGGACATTAGACATGATCTTCGTCTTGTCCATGTTCATCTTAAGGCCCACCCGTTGGGAGACACTGTTGAGGTCATTGAGCATAGCACCCAGGTCCTCCAGCGATTCTGCCATGATGACTATATCGTCGGCAAATCGAAGGTGGGTGATGTATTCGCCATTGATGTTAATACCTCGTCCTTTCCAGTCCAGAAGCTTGAAAACATCTTCCAACGCAGCGGTGAAGAGTTTCGGGGATATGACATCACCCTGTCTTACACCCTTCTGCAGATGGATAGGTTTTGTACTACTGGACTGTACTTGGACGGACATCGTAGCCTTGTTAAATAAACACCTCAGCACTTCGATATACCGATAGTCAATTTGGCACCGCTGAAGAGCCTGGAGTACCGCCCAAATTTCGACAGAATCGAAGGCTTTCTCATAGTCCACATACGCTAGGCACAAAGGCAGATTATACTCTTCCGTCTTCTGTATAACCTGCCGCAAGGTGTGTATGTGGTCTATGGTACTGAAGCCTTTTCGGAATCCGGCTTGTTCGGGAGGCTGGAAGTCGTCGAGTCTGGAAGCGAGACGATTCAAGATGACTCTTGAGAACAGCACATAGACGCGGCTCAGAAGGGATATCGGTCTATAGTTCTTCAAGAGAGCGTTATCGCCTTTCTTGAAGATACTAATACTAAAATACTAAATATTGTTACGTAGCTTTGAGAAAGTGAAGAAAAGAAATATATAAAAAATTAGCGGATTGGACAGACGCTGTCCTGTACACACGTCTTAAATTCGAAAATTTCAAACTTTGTTTAATAACTTCGTAAATCTAAACCATTCTCGAATCGGCCTGGAGACACAAAAATTTTCTTTAAAATCAGTCAAGCCGCATAGGAGGAGTTCAGTGACATACACACGTAAAGAAGAATTCAATATTTAAAGATATCAAGATATTGTATTGGGAAAATGATAGCGCTTAATTGGAAATTAAATTCTAGTAGTTTTTTATGAAGTTAGTAAGTGGCAAAATATTAAAACAAAACTTGTTGCTTGTATCTTAACATTGAATGAAAATCGAAGAAACATTTTATTCTGTATGGTTACAGGTTACGTGTGAGTAATGGCAAATAGGCAAAACACATTATTACCTAATCCTATAATTAAATGGAAGGAACTATGGAGCTGTGCAACTCGGTGCTTGTGGAGTAATTCAGGGTCTTGGGCCGGACGATGACTGCGTAAATTGCTAGAAAGAAGGCTCCTCACTGCCCACAGTGTCGTCATAAGAAGATATACGCTGTCTCAAAGCTTGATACGCGGACGACGAGCATTTCTTCCAGAACCAGACTTTCTCCTCGATTGACTCACATTTTTAACATTTAATTTTTACTGCGATAGGGCCACGTAGCAGTTTCTCTTTTACACGAAAAAGCAGGCTCATCCGGGGAGTACCTCAGCTTACAGAATACTGCTGTGCAGTAGAAGTGTTATACTTTCGCGTTTCATTCAGATGCGCTTGGCAATGCAACTGTAACCCGTCAGTTACGTCCATGGGGGCTTAAATTACTTAACGTCGCTCGTTTGCCAACCTTTCACATAAAAACATTAGCGTCTAAATTATGAAGCATAGGTATTGGTATCCTTTTCAAAAAGTGGATGATTTTGCTAGCTTTTATCACATTATCTACCATTTTCAAAACTGATAAACAACAATAACAACGCTTTAAAATGTTAAAGAAGTCAGATTATTGAAGAAAAAATGTCTAACGGTTAATGTTGTGGCATTTACTAAATTGCAACAAGTTTTTCAGATAACAACCACAATTCTTCTGCTAATTGCGAGTCATTTGCCTGTCGTGTGTATGTATTAGATACGGAACAGTCACAAAAATACTTTCCATTTACTTCAGTTGCTTCCTGTGACACAGCAACATGTATGCTTGTTTGTGCCGCTTCCCACTTGGTCTTCCAAAATAACTTTAAAATTGGCATTGCGTACTTTATAAAACATATATCCGTATTCTTTGCTAAAGCGGTCGCGGTGACACCGGGATGCAAACAATTCGCAGTCACACCAGTACCTTTCAATCTGCGGCCCAACTCTAAAGTCATAAGAATAAGACACAGCTTCGAGTTTGCATATATCTTTCCCCTTTTAAACGTTTTTATGCTTGCTTTCTCCATGTTAAGGTTTTCGAGATCGATTGTACCAAAATAGTACGCCATCGACGACACGCTCACTATCCGGCTTGGTGTTGATGATTTAAGCATTGGAAGCAGTATGTTGGTCAAAAGAAAATGTCCAAAGTAATTTATCTGCATCCCGCGAAGTAAACCATCTTGCGTCTTCTCATTTTCAGAGCCGAACACTCCAGCATTGTTAATGAGAATGTCAAGGCGCTTTTCATGTTTAAGGAATTCATTTGCAAAGCTTCGAACAGAATTAAGGGAAGCCAAGTCAAAGTGACGAAAGTGGATATCAGTGTTTCCGGTGACAGCGATCATTTTGTCTGCAGCGTAACGCCCATTCTTACTAACATCAGCTAGAATGACACGAGCACCCCTTTCCGCTAAATTCTTTGCCGTTGCGTAACCAATTC